TAACACATTAGATTTAAGTTATGTTTAGCAAAATGATTTGAATGATTATATAGCCAATAATTACGCTAATTATGTAAATTATAAACTAAATTCTATTATGTATGTACATTTTTGGTAACGCAGTAATAATGTACATTTTTATGAATTTGCTTTCCCTCTATATCTTAACTAGGCATTTCATTTACATTTCTAGAAACAGTGACATGTTAAATATTTAAATTTTAAATCTTAATCAACGATATGAATATAAACAAATTATTTCTTGATAGTGGAGATATTATTAAACAATAATAGTCGTGTTTTATAATATGGCAGACATGGTGATGGTGGATTTATTTCCATCAAATTGGAGTGCATATTAAATTTGTCATTTTGTTTGCAATACTTCGAACACGTCGGAGACCTCATACAATATCTATACTAAACTAACCCAGCTGTTCTATATTATAACGGTCCATGTATTATTTTTACCTTATGTGCATTACTTGAGCGTCCGTCCGTTTTACGCTCGTTATTTGTCGATTGTTGTTTATGTTTGTTCTTGTTTTTCTGACAAGATAATAAGATATTTACTCATTTAATTGAAAACCAGGTGTGAAAATAATCTGTTAGATGATTCGCTTCTTTAAACAAACCAAAAATACATAAATCTACACATGCGTAGATATTAGAAAACAATGCAGAAATTTACAATAAATCAAATATTATCATATGAATATTTATAAATAGCTTTGGGAATGAATTAGTTTTCTATATTTATGGAATCGATATTTTAAGTACATGTGTCCGTTAGTTATTTTTTTGCTCATGGTCACATGGGAAAATTTTTAGTCCTCCACGATGTGTGTATTTACCATGTAGAACTCTATACGAAAATGTTATGAAATTCAATACCAAACTAAAATGTTCTAAGATCGTTGGTATTGACATTGAAAGAGCTTTGAAATGTTGAACAAATACATATACTAATCCTAGGGTGATATGTAATGTGATATATTGGTCCAGTATAGATCCATATACGGGCACGGCACAGGGTTGTCATTTTCTGATTCTTAAAGAGGTGGACATTGCGGTTTAAAAAGCTGGACAAAATAAACCAGTGAGCGGAGCAAACAAAATAAACCAGTCGGACAGGGCCTACACAAATACCACTGTTCTCTAGGTTTCTGCGGATCTATATTCTTGACCGATTAGATGTCAGTTCCTCTGCGGTATCATTTGACCTTCTAAATATTGACATTCATTATCATGACAGCCGTGCGAATTACTTGGTCAGATCGCCGTCCCCATGGAAAATTTGTGATGTTCGGCTTATAATTGCAAATAGAATAATGACAAAAATATAGTTTTCGGTCTCTTTCATCTCCGAAATATCATCTGATCACCATTAAAAGTTATAAAAGTCGTCTTTGACCATAACATGAACCTCATGCAACATTTTCTAGCCATCAGCACCAAATTTCCGCCCTCTAATATGGTAATTGTAATACTTAACAATATAAGAATGAATGGACACAGGTAAAGTTTAAGTATAACTCTCAGTTATCAGTTTAAAGGTCAACCTCTCCTTTTTGGATATACTATCAACATCTCGGGTCTATATCATTCAGGCTTAAATATTTACGTATGTAAATTTTGTCATTTTTCACACTAAAGTCTGGATACGTGGTGCTCCTCTAGAGCGTTCAGAAAAACATAAAGTTTTTGATGCTTTTGGTCCCCTAAAAATTAACCAATCACTACCAAGGACCGGAACGATCTAATCAGGACCGGACCTAGATACAAAATTTTGTAACGATAGTTGCTGTACCAGTATAGTGTTTACAAATTATAATGGACAGACGGACGGACGAACGGACACACATGGCTAGATCGACTTAGTGCTAAAAGGTTGGTTGAGGACCAATATTTTGCGGCGTTACAAACTATTAGGCCCACAAAGCTATAATATCTTAACAACATAGTTTTGTACGGTATAAAAAGCTGGATATTGGCTATTTAAAAAGCGGGACAGACAAGTACATCCCAGTCTGAAAACCCTAGCACCGCCCCATTTTCGGGGCACACGGAAATGACAAATTTGTAAATAAAGGTCCATGTTTTCATATTTAGTGGCGTGTTGAAGTATATCTTAGTGCAAACAAATAATAACAAGTAGAAAAGTGTCAGTCGGTGTTGCCGATAGTTGTATATCCTTAGCATATAGTTATGCGGAGGTCTGCGGAGTTACAGTTTTTTTATTCGTTCTAAATAAGGTATATGTTTTTTATTGTTTTTATACTCTACATACTATTGTTTTTATACTCTACACAACCACAGGGTATTATAGCTTTGTGCAGCCCCAAAAGTTTGTAACACCGCGAAATATTGGTGCTAGACCCACCATATTGGGAAAGATCGGTTAATATTTAGGGGATGAAATGGACCAAATACTAATTTTTTTTGGTTTTTCTGGTTGCTACAGAGGCCGCAATAATGGCCCAAACATCGTGAAATTTTGCATGGAGAAGGGGTGGCCAAAAAATAAGCATGATAAAGATCGGTCAATATTTAGAGGGTCAAATATTATATCAAATATTATATCCAAGAGGAGTGTTTGGCCTTTAAATTAAGACCAATTATATTGTTGTATGTGCTCGGATGTGGGAGTTACACCTAAATATTTACAAGTATCTCCGTATTCGTATATTATTTAGTAACCCATTATCACTCTAGAGAGCGGAACTATAGCGCTGATCGCTTTGAAATGTTCCATGGTGTTCCAGGTATGGTCAAGGACAACGCCTATAATTTTCGGTGATGATGTGGACCGAAAACTTAAATGTTTGTGTTATTTTCGAGTCGATCTATAGACCACAAATGAAAGCCGAACATCACAACATAAACCACGGTGAAGGGAATATGGACAATAGCTGTACTGAATACTCGTAATATTCGGAAATATGTCAGTGAGAGGAAGAGGTTCTGTTTACCTCTAATCGGGCAAGAGAGTGCAAATATCACGAAATATTGCCCAGGCTCGGAATAAACATCCGCAGAAAATTTGAGTTCCGTGGTAGTTTTGTAGGGTATCATATGGTCGGCCCCGTCCGACTATACTGCTCCGCTCACTGGTTGAAATATATTTCGTGTTTAATGTTTATAAAATCAGTTATTCAAATAGCTTCAAATTAAATTTACAAGTTTGTAATATTGATCCTTTTTGGGGGAAATTCCAGAGGAGAGGGCAAACGGGTACCACATTCGGATTTGATATGTGCTTGTTGAAGATAATAGGTTGTGCAAAGTTTGGTTCAAATCGGACATTCCATCGCTTGATATTGAATTTTAAAATATTGAAAATGTTGACCATTCATGGGGAAAGTATCAGAAGCAGTGGACCAATGGTTCTCATTTTCGGATTTGACCTAAGCTTGGTAAAGATAATACGTTTTCCAAAGTTTGGTTAAAATCAGATAGTCCGTTCGCATGATATTATAAAATAATTTTTTAGGACGATTTCGACCATTTTGTGGGGGAGGACCAAAAGGAGTTGACCGATATTCCACATCTTCGAACTTGAACTGTGTTTGGAAGAAATATTACTATCTGCAAAGTTTGGATGAAATCGGTTACATCCTTCGAGTGTTATTGTACGCACCAGCCGGTCAGACTTACAAGCGGACATTTGTAGATCGACCCCAAAAAGGGGTTATATTTGCACTACCCCCAAAAGGGAGGGAGCTGTGCTACCGAATATGACTATGAAATACCAAATTACATGGAATTCGGTTAAAAAAGCGAGCTCAAAACCCCAAAAATACCGAAAATGAGAGGTAACGTCATATTGGGGCTACTCGCAAAAGTGGACCTATATTTATGATTTTTTTCTGTGAAAAAATTTGGTACCCAATAAAAATCCAAAGTACCAAATTTCACCATACTATGGTGGAGGGTATTAAAATATGCTAGCGTTATATAGAGTCTATTTCCAAAAGTTAAACTCTTTTGAAAATGTTCTGCATGTTTTCCATTTAGAATGCTTAAATGAAGCCAAAACTGCTAAAATATTATATGCATCATTTGAGGATTCTAAATTACAATCAATAATCAATAAATACTTATAATCAGATTCATGTGATTCCTAAATGTAAAACAATACACATGTTTATTAAGGCATCACAACGTTTGTCCGGTCAGTTATTAAATTTAAAAATTTCAATGCGCTTTATTTTTTTCTAATTCAGTCTGGATGTAAACAAACATGGCTAAATCTATGACTGATATCCTACCACAGTAATATATCCTACATCACTTAAAGGACAACAAAAAATGAGGGATTTCCACCTGAAACAAAATAATCACAGAAAAAATCCTAATTATTGTGGAATTTCCCAATTGATGAGTGTGGAAATGTAACTCCCCAACTTCATACTCAATCGTTGAAACTAGTTTTAATTTTCGTCATGCATCTAAAATGCAGCTATTGTAACCCTAGTAACAGCAGCATTTGCACACTGACGATTCTTTGCCGCATTCATTCTATGCCAAAGTTTCCTCCAAAGCATTGACAGCAACAACAACAGCGAACGAAAGAAAATAAATAAAAAACAAAAACAATTTTATAAACTGTTGTAAAAATGTCAGTATAAAATCGCTTTAAAGTGGAGTGTTAATAGTTTTATTCGCTCATTTCGAGGTTGTTAATAAAACGATAAAGACGTGATTCGACTAAAATGTAAACAAAGTGTTGACGCTTAACAGAAACAGTAACAGCAGCAACAACACCAACAACAAAACTGTATGAAAAAAAAAGAAATGCCAACAAGAATCTCTCTAGCAAATGAATAGAAATTTCAAAAAATAAAATTAAATTGAAAAATAACTGCAACTAGTACATAACAACGGGTAACGGTAATAGGATCAAGTGTAACAAAGTGAAATAAGTTCGATCGATTCTAAAAAAACATAAAGTGATTAGTTGAAAATAAATAGAAAAATAAAAACCCCAGCAAATATTTAAACGGATATAACGAGCTGAAATATTGAAAACATGATTTTTCAATTGACACGCAAAACTTTTCTCGCCATATTGGGATTTAGTTTTCTGATAGCGGCCATAATCGTTTTATGTTTCACCACTGTCTCCATGTCGGAAATTGAAAAATGTTTCAGCACGGAAGTGGATACGGAAAATTCAACATTGGAATTAGTACATATTGTAAGTGACGAGTGTGAAAATTGTATAAAACTAAATAAATAAAAAACCAAAATTAAAAGTATGGAATATACTGTAATGGATATGCTAATACACAAAATAATTTAAATGCAACGCGTTTGGATATAAATTCGGAACAGACACAAAAAGGAATATCACGACAAATGCAACAAGTATATTTCACATATATATCGGAATTTTGAATAACAAATAATTAAATATTGTACACAGAAAAAAAGCTTTAAAAGGAAAATAAGGAATTTATCGATGTACATCAAGGATAAACACTGACTGCAAAATCAGAAAAATATAAGCGATTTAAATTGGTCCTAATGAATAATGATCTGATCACATCAATAATTAAAATCTTCAAAATAAACTTATCGGCATATTGATGTGCAATTAAATGAAAGTCCTTTAAAGTCCTAGAATTGGAAATGACAAGTGCCAATTTGGCTTTAAATCGGTTTAAATTCTAAGATAGCACTAATATACCCACACCTGTCCAATTGGCGGTGCCGACTATATGGCAAACTGAACCCAAAGATCCTCAATTGTCAAACCTCAGGAACCTCTGTGCTCTGCCGATCTTAACAGCTTTCAATTTATAATATTGATTATAATAAATAATAGCAATTATTTATCTTTAAAATGTATGCTTTCAAGAAAAATAAAATGTTGTAATCAGGGACGAATGTCCAGGTTTAGGTTGTAAACGTCAAAACCGCCATATGAATCAGTGCAAAGTTATAAAATCAGACAAATAGTCGATTTTTATAACTTTGAATTAAAAAAAATATGACTTTCAATACACAACTACATAAGAAAACATTAAGGAAAATTTCAAAAGTCGGACGGGTCAACTATATGATACCCTCCACCACTTTGGGTACATACAAGAGATGCTGATATGTACAATATCCTTTAGATAGAATAGACAAGTCATCTTTGGAGAACCATTAAAATTGAATCGGATGAAATTAACTGCATAAGTACATAGATAGTTGAACTAAATCAAAACAGTTCATACACATACCATTCTGAAATTTATGAAAAATTGAATGCCAATCATCGAGCAAAATATGTATCAGATCCATATATAAATGAACGTATTTGAGCAACCGTGGCATCCACTATTTGGTATGTTGCAACACAAACGCTATCCAAAATTTATTTCGACCCAAAGTCCAGTACATGTTATTCAAGGTTCGATTTGGTACGGACAAACTTTAGCTATTTGGTACATCATTTTGATGAAATAGGGTGAAAATATATATGAAATATATGAACCGATTTCAACAATAAAATATCGTGCAAATAGAACAGGGACTATGGTGTATCATTTACATAAAATGGGACTAATATATAGAGTAACTTCGGGTAATGTGGACTATGCGTCTAATGTGGACCTTCAACAAAATATACGTTTGCTGCAATTAAAATCGGTGATTTTTAATTTTTATTAATTTTTGTTATAAATTTTTTTTATACCCTCCACCATAGTATGGTGTAACTCATCGAAATATTCATTTCCGACCCTATAAAGTACATCTATTCTTGATCAGGGTAAAATTCTAATAGCCTAGACAGACGACAGCCTTAATTTGCATTAACAGCCTTAATTCACATTAACTTGTACATTATCCTCATTTTTATGTGTTGTTAATGCACAAAATCAAACTGAATTTATACTGAATTAGACAATTTCCATATGGCAATGCTGTCGAAAATTAATTGTTTCTTGTCAAATTTATTTATATTTATGAAAATAAAAATAAGAAATGAAGGCAAATTTCAACCATTTTTTAAACTGGGAGCTGTTTTGCTGAGATCATAGTTACTATTCCTCCTTTATGTCATGTATCTACTTCATAAAGATGTAATCCCGAAAAATATCGAAACAAATGTAAAAAATGTCCATCCTACACACAGACAAACAATTGGTTTGAAGCAAAAAACTGTTTCGTAAATGCAGAAACGCTCGTCTGTCAGGGGTAAATATTAATTCAAATTAAGGAATTTTTAATCCAAATTAAGGCTGTCGTCTGTCTATGGTATAAGACGATCTAGCCATGTCCGTCTGTTGTAATCACGCTATCTTCTGAAGGAATTGAGATAGGATGCTGAAATTTTGCATAGGGTTGTCTTTTGTCTCCAGGCAGGTCAAGTTCGAAGATGGGATATATCGGTCCACGTTTAGACATAGCTCCCATATAACAGTACCCCCCAATTGTCAGTATTTTGAGGTTATTGGGCACGTTTTTCAACCGAATACGCTGAAATTTGGTACATTGGGTACTTAATGTCCCCACAAAAAATTATAAATATAGGTCCCCTTTTTCTGGGAGCCCGCATATAATGGTACCTTCTAATTTTCAGTATTTTGGGGGCTTTGATCGTATTTTTCCACCGAATTGGGTGTAATTTAGTATTTCGAGTTTTTAATAGGTACTAAATATCTCCACCAAAAATTATCAATATAGGTCCATTTTTTCGGATAGCCCCCATATTAGGGTACCCCCACTTTTCGGTATTTGGGGGTTCTTGAGCGCATTTTTCAACCGAATTTGCTGCAATTTGGTAATTTGTAGTCGTACATGGCAACAAATCTCTCTACCAAAAATGTTTAATATTCGCCCCCTTTTTGGGGTAGTCCCCATATAACCCCCTTTTTTATATTAAAATAGTTATCTGATTTGTTCCGCGTTTTGAGTTTGGTTCTAAGACACTTTTGAAATCATTTCACCTGCGGAGGATAGAGAGGTAAACAATTAGAACGTAAGGTTCGATAATGAACTATAGCCGCATTTAGACCTAGCCCCTGATTGGAAGTTCCAGAATTTGAACTTAGCTTGGAAGAAATAATAAGATGGGCAAAGTTCGGATGAAATCTAAATTTTCTGAAACGGATTTGGTCCAAAGAAACATGGGGTCTAGAACCAATATTTCGATGAGGCACATTTTCACCGTGTTAAAGTGTATACACCCTCATTAGCCATAAGGCTGAGGGTATAATTATCCTTTAAAATTTTCTAAAATTTGTATTATGGTTTACATAATCCGTTTTTAGAAATGTCGGTATAGGTCCACTTTTTGGTATGTTCCCTATATTTTCATTTCTAGTACCTGTCAATATATCTATGGTGGAGTGTATCCAAAGTTCGGCCCGGCCGAACTTACCGCTTTTTCACTTGTTAGATATAGCTCCCATGTATATTTTCGTCTGATTTAATGTAAACGATGTACCATATTATTTGATATTATTTGATTTGCACGAAATTTGGCATAGCGTAGTGAATTAAGTCTATAATGATGTGTGTTAAGTTTCGTGACATTCGGTTAATATTTAGATATATCTTCTATATATATTTCCGTCCGATTTAATGTATATGGCGTACCAAAGTCCCTATATATCTTTCGATTTGCACGAAATTTGGCACAACGTTCTGAATAAAGTCTAAAATTATGTGTGTGAAGTTTCGTGAAAATCGGTTCAGATTTAGATATAGCTCCTATATATATATATATATATATATAAATTCTTCCGATTTTATGTAAATTGTGCACTAAAACCCAAAGTTTGTACGATTGATACACAATTTTATACAATGTACTGAAGTTAATATAAATTCATCTCTGGCAATTTACCTTGAATTCGGTTCAGATTTAGATATAGCTCCCATTGGATATTAGATAAATGTTGCACCGGCCTACCGAATGACGTGTATCAAGTTTGTTCTAAATTGATTTACATAAATTTGTCTCATTGTACGCAAACGATTCTAAACTTGTCCAAATGAAATGAAATTTAGCATAGGTTCTAGAAAGGCATAAAAATCACATATTAAAGTTTCGAAACGGCAAAGTCTGTTAGGAGACTTCTGTGGAATATACCCAAAGTGGTGGAGGGCATCATATAGTCGGGCCCAGTCCGACTTTACTGCTTTCCTTACTGGTTTAACAACATATTCTTTGAAAATTTTTTGGTAAATATGAATTCTAATAATCGAGCTGAGTATTTTTACTATATAAAAATATACTTTGCTAAATGTTAGTATAAAATCCCAGTTGTATTGTGTACTAAATAAAATTATAAATATAGGCCAATTTTTTCCGGTAGCCTCATATAAGGTGATATTGAATTCTCTGTATCTCTCAATCGAATTCTCTGTAATTTGGTATTTCGTAGTCATTTTTGGCAAAAAAAAAAATATTAACATTCGCCGCCATTTAAGGGTAGTATCCATGTAACCTCTTTTTTTGTCATTCCGTTTGCAACACCTGGAAATATTCACCGGATACTCCATATATATTCTTGATCAGAATAAAATTCTATGTCTTTTTTTGTGTCAGTCTGTCCGTCTGATGAAAGCACGATCTTGCGATCTCTAGCAAGATTTAAGATAGAGCTATGAAATTTTGCTCAGACATTGCTAGTACTCCTAGGATGTTTGATATTGCATATAGGATATGTCGGTTCAGGTTTTGATGTAGTCTCTATATAAAGGTACTACGCAATATTCGGTATTTTGTATTTAAATATTTTGATTTCTCATTGAATAGCACATCTCTGTAGGAAAAATTATTAATATTGACCTATGTTTCAGGGTAGCTTCCAAATATTTTGTATTTTGGGGATTTTAGACACGTTTTTTCCACCAAGTTGGCTGTAATTTAATATTATGGGTTCTCATTGTATAATACTTCTCCGAACGAAAATTATTAAGATTATCCATAGTTATAAGGTAGCCCCCATATAACGGTACCTCCCAATATTCGGCATTTTGGACACGTTTTTTCAACCGAGTTGACTGTAATTTAGTATTTTTGGTTCTCATTGTATAGTATATGTCCGTACCAAACAAATATTAATATTGACTCAAGTTTCAGGGTAGCCCCCATATAACGGTACTCCCAAAATTCGGTATTAAGGTGATTTTCGACACGTTTCTCAACCAAATTGTTTGTATTCTCATTGGCTGACAAATTTCACTACCCAAAATACTGATTTCCGTTTTGGTTATCCCTTCTCTCCCGTCTTTTTCAGTATATTCCAGGTACTTTCATAACATGAGTTTTCTCCTAGGTGCCCTCTTAATTTTATATATTTTATATGTCATCCTCATGATGGAGGGTATAAACAGAAAATGGAGTGATACCGTAATATGTGAAGATTTGAAATGTCATGTGAATCCAAAATATCAAATTAAAGTTAATTCGGCTGAAAATGACATACCCTCGTTAATATTTTTTGGCAGGCAGATTCTCTACCCAATAGGAAACCAATGCCACTTGATATGGTATTGCTCCTAAAAAGTGGACCAATATTGATCATTTTTAGTAGAAAGGTTTTCTTAACTCCAAAATACCAAATTACTGGTTCAAAATAGTTTTAGTGGGAAGATTTGACACAAAATACCAAATAAGAGTCAAGTCCAAACTGACTTTGGCATTCCGCATTTTGAAATTTCTAGCCCTGTAATGTTCCAGTAAAATCCATATCTATTATCTGTTCGTCCATCTATCCGCCTATTATAATCACGCTTATCATCATCCAAAGGAATTGAGATATGAGCTGAAATTTGTTGTCTTTTGTCTGCTGTCAGTCAAGTTCGAAGATGGACTATATTTGCACAACATTCCAAATTTAGCCTATATGACGTATATTAAGATTAGTTCAATTCAGTTCAGATTAACCCTGTAGCCGGCCAGCCCGCCTTTAGACCTTGTGCAGTAAACACTTTGCAATGCAGAGTTATTTATTTAAAACTATGTTCTAACAGAAAATATCAGTTAAGATATGATGTATACTCTTTTCAGAAGTGAAAATTTGCCGATGGATTAAAATTTATTAGCGCCAGAATAATTTTTTAGAAGAAGTTAGTAAATTTATTGGCCGGTACATGGTTAACTATCTATTTCATGTGTACCATATGCTTTAGTAGTTTAAGGACTTTGGGCAACCATATTGGCTGTAATTAACCCTTTGTGGCCCAATGTTGCCCACAGGCAACAAAATGTTTTAGAGCTTATATTTAATATGTAGCTAGTAGATACATATTCTTTGGATTTCATATGTCAAGTCCTGATTATGGACGATACATATCACAAGAAAAATCTAAAAAATTCGTAAAGTTATAAGCTTTTTAATATAGAGAAGAGGGCAAAAATGTATACAGTACTAATTTGTGTGTACAGTCCAAATTATTTAAATCGCTTCGTATTCGAAATGTACAAATTTTGGTTTTCTTGATATTGGGCTTTTATTTTTCAGAAAGAAAGTACTGTATCTCCCGAAATCAAGGATGTAGCGATGTCAAAATTTGTCCATATCCTATCTAGGATATTTGCATTAAATCTGTGAACAGAAAATTGTTCTATGATTACGGAAAAAAATTCGGGGCTCAAAGGGTTAAATATTTTAGGTTTTCATCAGGGGAAAAACATTGGCGCATGTTAATTATTTGGTAGCAAATTTCATACGAATAAATATCAATTTGATCAATGAGTAGATAGCGTCCATCTCATGGTATCATTGGTATTTTGAAAATGTTAAAAAAAAATGCCATCAAAAGTGGTTGCAATTTAGAATTTCTTTTAGGTCCTTATACATTAAATACCCATTAATATTTGTCATTATTTGTTTTACAGGTTCTACGCCACGGCCCACGTACTCCAGTTGATACATATCCCAATGATCCATATTTACATTCGAAATTTGAACCTACAGGTTGGGGGCATGTAACTAATGTATGCTAATTATTAATTACAATTTGAAATTACATATAAATGTTCCTAATAATATTTTCACAGAAAGGAAAACGTGAACTCTATGAATTGGGTGAATTGTTGAATCAGCGCTATGGCAAATTTATGGAACCCTATTATACACCGGATGTATGTTGAATGTTTAGAAAATATTTCGATGGTCAATAATAATCGTATCTCTTTTAATGTATGGATTTTAGAAAGTACATGCCCAGGCTACAGCATCTCCGCGTGCAATGATGACTTTGGCAACCGTATTGGCTAGTATGTTTCCACCCAAAAACACGCCCATGGAATGGCATCCGGCATTAAATTGGCAACCGATACCAATATTTTCTGAGCCATTAGATCAAGATTCGGTAAGGGGAATTGAAATGGAATTTATTTCCAAGTACGATAAACATAAATTATTATTACAGCTCCTTTTGGTCAGGACACCGTGTCCCCGCTATTTCGAGGCACGTCAAGAAGTACTGGAACTACCCGAAGTTAAAGAAGAACATGCTAAATATGCAAGTCTTTTCCGCAACTTATCATCTTTGACAGGTCTAAATATAACCGAAGCGGAACATATCAATTCCTTGTATATTACCCTCGAAGCTGAACGAGATTTCGGCCTACCACTACCAGAATGGACTAAAGATTATTTCCCTGAGAAAATGCAATTTATGGCCGAACAGAGTTATATCTATAATGCCTACACGCCGGAGATGCAAAAAATCAAAGGAGGTCCCTTTCTCAAGAAAATGTTCGATGAAATGTTGCGGAAACGTAACAATACTCTAAAACCGGCAGATAGGAAATTATTTATTTACACTGGGCATGATTGGACAGTGGGTAGTATTTTGTCGGCTCTAAATGTGTGGGAACGACAAATGCCCAGTTTTTCCGTTATGACAATATTTGAACTGCATCGAAATTTGGAGACTGGTGAATATTATGTGGAGGTAAGTTCAAGAAACTTAAAACAGAGACGAGTAAATTATTTTAAATGTATCCTAAAACTTTTAGATTTTCCTACGTAACAACGAAAAAGGCTGTCTGCACGAATTACGCCCACCTCATTGTCATCGTAAGTGTCCCCTAGATAGATTGGTGGAATTAAGTGCCGATGTCCTACCCAATGAACCCTATGAACAGCGTTGCCGAGCCAAAAACAGTAATTTTGTGGAACCACCTCCAAGGTTGATTGATCAGTAGTTGGCCAACACTCCCACAGTGCAAACCGTGTGTTAACATTAGATAATAAGATAGCAACAAATGTGAAATACAAACATAGCTGGCCGGCCAGTTTTATGGTTTCGATACCAAGCGGTAATTAGATTTAATTATTTTGTAGAAAAAAAAAATGCAAACAAAAGAGAAACACAATTAGAAGCCTTGTAATTAGATATGATATTTACCTTTAGATAAGGTGTAGTTTGTAGTTTACCATTTGTTAATCATTTTTTTATTGTTGTGTTAATTGTGTCTTTTTTCAAGCTAATTAGCTATTCACTCATTGTAAACCATTCGCATTTTGAACTTGATCTTTTTAACGGTTGTTTAACTATGACAAGATATCTTTATCTTGATTTTAAAGCTTTCAAAAAAACTACAAGTTCAAGAGTAAGTTAAGTTTTTAATAAAAAAAAAACAGAGCTTTGGTTTAACATTGTAGTAAATCAAAGCTTTACTTTGAGATACGATTGTAGTTCTTTTATTACAATAAAAGAGAATGTATTACGTATTTAAGAGAACTGGTAAGAGAAACGATTGCGGTAGTAATATCTTACAAAAAGCTCCACACAAAGCAACAGCAAAATTTTATTAAAAACGTTCGAATCGAACTATGTACGCCTTCCACCATGCTGAAGAAATAAAAATATGAAGCAATCCATTATTTTAAATAAATCAACATTTCTATGAATTGATGTAAACCTTATTTATCCAACTAGATTTAAGCGTATAAATGCAAATCTAGTTTGAATTTAAAATGTAACTACAACACTGTAAATAATCTTAGAATGTTATCGATCTTATCGATAACGATAAAACCACAAGAAGTCATTCATTCCGCAATCTCCATTCAAACACGGTACATTGTTGTATCCATCTGATAAGGTTGCGCAGAATAGTAATAAAGTCGGTATTTAAAAAATAATCAAGTCGTTTCTTTATTTATGAATCGCTACAAATTTTGGAGAGGTAAATACCGTTCTAAAGATATACGATGATGTACAGAAATGTTGAGGTATGTTCACTATTGATGCTATAACTCTGCATCCACGCGGAATTTTAGAAGTTTATATAGCCTATGTTACTTTCAGGACACGTCATGGCATACTGTGTAAATCTCATTAACATCTGTTCAGCAGTTTTTGCGTCTATCGGTAACATACAAACAAACATTTTTTTTCTATTTTATATATAGATAGTTTTTTCAAGGCAATGACTATCCAATTAATTGTAGAAAATAAACATATTTTGAGAATTTTCTATAATTGACAATTACTTAAAGATATACGCTGCCCATTTTCGCACAAAATATGTCCAAAAAGAACTACGAAGAGATGACACCATAAAGGTTCGATATAAAATGTGTAGAAATGCTAGTATCATTCAAAATATATTTTGCAACATTTTCGCGGATTTTTCTCAAAATGTTCCTTCATTAAAACCTTTCCACTTCAATTACAGACTACTAACAGAAACTTTATGTCAAATCGGTCCAACCGTTTCTTTAACATAATTTTTGCAAGATTTCCGCGGATTTTTCTCAAAATTTTCTATCAAAAAACCTTCCCACTGCCGTTCTCAATTGATGCGTTAGTATACATTTTTCTTGCTCCATTTTTTATATATATATATAGATTATAAAATATAATCTATATATAACCAGTGAGCGGAGCAGTATAGTCGGACGGGGCCGACCATACGATACCCTACACAACTACCACGAACTCTGAGGATGTTTATTCCGAGTCTGAGTAATATTTCGTGATATTTGCCCCCTCTTGTCTGATTAAAGGTTAACAACACCTCTTCCTTACTTTTTTCGAATATTCAGTACAGTCCTTCTAATTACTTGTCCAGATTACCTTCACGGTGGGTGATTTTCGGATTATACTCTACTCGAAAACACACATAAAATTATGTTTTCGGTCCATTTCATTCCAAAATTTTAATCTGATCATCACCGAAAATTGTAGGCGTTGTTCTTGACCATAACTGGAACTTCATGAAAAATTTCAAAGCCATCAGCGCGATATTTCTCCCTCTAATGTGGTAATGGGTTACTAAATAATATCTGAATACATAAGCACCTGTAAATGTTTGACAGTAATTCCCACATCTGAGTAGATACATCACTATATTTGGTATCAATTTAAAGGCCAACAACTCCTCTTGGATATGCTATCAACTCCTGGGGTTTACATCCTCCAGGAGTAAATATATATGTCATAGAATATAAATTTTCTCATTTTTCACACAAAAGTCAGGGTCCATTTGACCCGCTAAATATTGACCAATCTTTATCAAAACATGCATGCTTATTCTCTGGCCCGATCCCCTTCTCCATGAAAAAATTCGCGGTGTTTGGGCCGTAATTGCGGCCTCTGGAGCGACCAGAAAAACCGACAAAAATTTAGTATTTGGTCCATTTCATCCCCTAAATATTAACCGATCTTTTCCAAAAACAATAGGGGTCTTCATTGGCCAGAACCCATCCTACATGCAAAATTTCGTGAAGATTGGTCCATAACTGTGGCCTGTATCGTGTTTACAAATTATAATGGACAGACGGACGGACGGACGGACACACATGTCTATATCGACGCAGCTAGTCGAGATATGACGATCGGTATACTTAAAGGTGGGTCTAGGATCAATATTTCGCGGCGTTACAAACATTTGGGGCTGCACAAAGCTATAATACCCTGACAACATAGTTGTGTAGGGTATAAAAATAGAGCCAAAAAAATTTATACAAATTCATCAATTTAGAACGGCTGGGCCGATTTGACTAACAATCTCTTTCAGTTCTCTCGAGAAAAATCCTCGAAAATGTTGCAAAATATATTTTGAAAGATATTAGCATTTCCACACGTTTTATATCGAACCTTTATGATTTCATCTCTTCTTAGTTCTTTTTGGACATATTTTGGGCGATAATTGGCAGCGTATTTCTTTAAGTAATTGCCAATTTTAGAAAATACTCAAAATATGTTAATTTTCTACAATTAATTGGATTGTCATTGCCTTGAAAAAAACTATTGTATATGAAAATAAATTTACATATATTTTCATTAGAGTTAAATTTGATAATACGAAACCGAAAAGAGAGAGTAAGATTAACAGCTATCATTATTTGCTCACGTTTTCCATAAAATCAAGATTTATTTAATTTAAAACCAGTGAGCGGAGCAGTATAGTCGGACGGGGCCGACCATATGATACCCTACACAACTACCACGGAACTCAAATTTTCCGCTGATGTTTATTCCGAGCTTAGGCAATATTTCGCGATATTTGCACCCTCTTGCCCGATTAGAGGTAAACAGAATCACTTCTTTACACTGAGTATTCAGTACAGCTATTGTCCAGATTCGCTTCACCGTGGGTTGTGTTGTGATGTTCGCTTTCATTTGTGGTCTATAGATCGAATCGAAAATAAGTATTCGATCCACTTCATTCCAAAATTATTATCTGATCATCACCGAAAATTATAGGCGTTGTCCTCTTGCCCGATTAGAGGTAAACAGAATCACTTCTTTACACTGAGTATTCAGTACAGCTATTGTCCAGATTCGCTTCACCGTGGGTTGTGTTGTGATGTTCGCTTTCATTTGTGGTCTATAGATCGAATCGAAAATAAGTATTCGATCCACTTCATTCCAAAATTATTATCTGATCATCACCGAAAATTATAGGCGTTGTCCTTTACCATAACTGGAACCTCATGGAACATTTCAAAGTGATCAGCGCTATAGTTCCGCTCTCTAGAGTGATAATGGGTTACTAAATAATATACGAATATGGAGACACCGGTAAATATTTAGGTGTAACTTCCACATCCGAGCACATACGACGATATAATTGGTATTAATTTAAAGGTAAACCACTCCTCTTGGATACGTTGTCAACTTCTTGGGTCTATGTCCTTCAGGAGTAAATATATACACCATAGAATACAAATTTTGTAATTTTTCACACAAAAGTCAAGGTCCATTTGACCCGTTAAATATTGACCGATCTGTATCAAAACAGGCATGCTTATTCTTTGACCCGATCCCCTTCTCAATGCAAAGTTTCACGATGTTCGGGCCATTATTGCGTCCTCTGGAGCGACCAGAAAAACCGACAAAAATTAAGTATTTGGTCCATTTCATCCCTTAAATATTAAACGATCTTTCCCAAAAACAATAGGGGTCTTCATTGGCCAGAACCCATCCTACATGCAAAATTTCGTGAAGATTGGACCATAACTGTGGCCTGTAGCGTGTTTACAAATTATAATGGACAGACGGACGGACGGACGGACACACATGTCTAGATCAACTCAGCTAGTCGAGATATGACGATCGGTATACTTAAAGGTGGGTCTAGGACCAATATTTCGCGGCGTTACAAACTTTTGGGGCTGCACAAAGCTATTATGCCCTGACAACATAGTTGTGTAGGGTATAAATATGAGTTATGTTATGTGAAGAAGTTTGTATGGTATGTATAGGTTGAGAAATTTTTCTCAAATAAAACACAGTAACCCATGAACAAAATTATATTGAAATTAAGACTCCTTCAAGAAGGGACAAATAAGATAATGTAATAACGTTGGAGCAATAACAAAACACGATCTTCTATTGAAAAAAAAAAATATTTGGTGAAATAAGTTCTACCAAATTTTAAACTATTATGTGCTTGGGTCTGCATCGGGGCAAATGTTTTTACCAACCTTATATTGATGCAATATTGATAAGGCAAAACAGCGTTTGCCGGGTCAGCTAGTTATTAATTATGAATTTAAAACCAAAAAATTGTGGACAAATTTATACGAGGCCAACTTCTAAAATTTATTCAATATTGATAGTTTTTGATATGAAAATGTCCCATCCAATGAAAATCCAAAATACCATACACAGTGAAACAAATATCTTCCACTATTGACATGCAATTTCCTACGACTATTTTTGTATTATCGGCATTAAATTTAACAAGTG